TATATATATATATATATATATATATATATATATATATATATATATATATATATATATATATATATATATATATATATATATATATATATATATATATATATGTATTTATATGTATATATATATATATATATATATATATATATATATATATACTCGTACATATGAAAAGTTCTATTTTGTTAAATATACGCATACATGTGTGAATATACATAATTGTATACACGTGTGTATAGCGACGTCCACGCTCACACACACGCTCACACACACGCATACACACACGCACACACACAGGCACACACACTCACCCGCACACAAAGAACAGACACATACACAGACATAGACAGACATAGAGACACACAGGCACAGAGAGAGACACACACACACACTTTCACAGACACAGACACATACACACACGCATACACACAACACATACACATAGACACAGGCATACACATTCACACATATATATGCATATACATATACATAGATATATATTCGTCCATACCATATATGTATTCATACAATTTTGTGCTATTTTTTCACCCAAAAATTATGTACGAATAATATTCCATATTGTGAACATGATTCTGCTGCGTCAATTTTTTATCGTGCGAAATCTCGATAGAGGGCAGAAGGGAAATACGTTTATAGTGTATTCTCGTTAAGGTGCATAAATTCAATCGTAAAATCGATTGGAGTACTATGAGCTTTCATATTTATATATATATTTTACATGGAAGACGATATCCGAGGCACGTATACGTGCAAAACTAGACAAACCCTCGATAAATTGAACCTGTTTCTGTGCTTAGGTAGTGTTGTTTCTTATAATAGGACAAATAGCGGGCTTACCAATATAGCCTCATATATCAATGTCGAGTCGTGCGGGGGCTTCAAGCAAACGGCGTCCAAAATAGTCATCGACACCAAGGAATAGTATTACGAATGAAATATCGGATCAATTAACAAAATTAATTACTGTAGAGACTAGATCAAAATCTTATTAGCATTCACCGATGACAAGCGAAGTCGCCACTCACTTCCCACCTATCTATGTGATGTCGATCTAACATTTAGAAATGTTGCAAGAAAATGGAGCGATTCGTAAATCTGGTAGACCTGATATTATTTTTGTATCTACAAATGTACGTGTTAATGTACATAAGACTCGTATACGTACCTATATCGTATTTGCATATACCGTATACAAGTATCTAACATTACTAATGCATTGGTTCCCTTGAGCAGAACTGGACCTTATTCATAACACCAACATGTAAGCTGTTCTACACCTTTCCACAATGTAAAGCATTCCTCGCTATGAATTTTCACTGCTAGGCTTATACCGAGGGGAGATAAGTACAGTTCATTCTCCCGATGGAATTACGAGTGTCAAAGACATGTCTCCATTTTGAGGTCCAATAATTACTCAAATACATATTTGTTCAGTACGTTTATGAACCTTCAATCCTTTCAAAATCAATCGTTTAATACTTTCAGGGCGGGACAGACACAGTCTAAATCCCTTTTAACCTTACCCCAAGAATGTCACAGGAAGGATTTGGACAGCTACTCAAAAATATAGGCCTATGCATGGATCAACGTTTCCTCAACTAGATCGCATATCTGAGAGACCTATGGAAAGTGAGCATGCTGTTAAAAATCAAACTTATGTTAGCATTGCTGCTCATGTTCGCGTTTGTTGCCGGCTTCTCCGTATATCATTGCTGCTTGTTTACGCACATAATAGGTTCACCCAATGAAAATCGGCTCACAGAAGACTTCACTGTATATCATTGCTGCTTGTTTACGCCTATCATAGGTTCACCCAATGGAACTCAGCTCACAGTAGACTTCTCCGTATAGCATTGCTGCTTATGCTTGCGCTCGTTGTTGGTTGTTTGCCGTAGATCTCTCCCATTTTGGCGCGCAGTATCGGCCGTGCCGGGGCGGGCCATAGCTTAGAGCACAGATCGCTATCACACTCCACCAAACCACCTGTAGCAATTGTTTCAAAAACAGATTGACGCTCAAAAAGTGCAATTCAAGTTTTGTAGGAATAGATCCCTTAACTGAGACACATACATACACCGACAAACACAACACAGGTATGCTGGCCATAATTTGTACTACGAATCGCTGACACACTCCACTAAGCCACCCGGGGCAATGGCAAGATAAGAAAGTTGTAACCTATTTTATGCAGATACAGATGAACACTCACTCACAAGCAAACATATACAGACACAGACTTACACAGCCTAGTATATGTGAACTATTGGCGCAATAAATAACTTTTTTAGGGTCTAACGTTTATATTCCGAAACGCGATGGTAATGCCCATGTATAAAATTGCACACAGAGATCCACAGACTTATTGAAGACAATAGTGTACACTAAGACACAAAGACCCATAGACTTATTGCAATCCCAATAACCCCAACTATAAGTCTGCATGCCCCTGGGCCATTTTCAGATCAGCCAATACGCAGTGACCATACACACTGAAAACATTCCATGAGATGGTATATGGTATATTCATACACGCCTCGAAGGAAAAGCCAAGATACGGCCCTGACTATGTTGCGAAATAAGATTATATACCTAAATCCGTGATACAAAAGGGTGCAAAATATAGCCCTGACTATCCAGAGAATTAAAAACATACCCAAATTGATGACACCTCTCCCCAATAGAAACCGTTCTGCTGCCTTGAGGGAGATCGCAAGGAACCCCAGGTCTTTCAGAACCTGTAAATGCAAAACAAAAATATTCAGCAACTCCATCACACGCGTCTACTAGACTCGTATCTCACTGGCTGCATGTCGCAATAGCCTCAAGACATATTCATCAAATACCACAGATTTCATCACCTCACACTCGTGACAAACTGAAGGTCTCAAGATAAGAAATAGAGCGTCTAAAACCTCTGAAGTCATCATTTAAATTGCATGGTCTCCCTGCTGGTACACTTAAAGTATGAACACAACCTAGACTATAGACTACTGTTAGAAGAAAACCCATCGATATGAGACTCACCTGTTTGATGGGGTGAGATAACCACTCGGGCGACAGATAACTGTCCGAAAACCACTTGCGGTTGGCCTTCTTCTTCACCGAACTGGGACTGCCGCGATCGCCTTTCACAATGACCTTTGGAGAACTATATGGATGAAGTGATGAATGGGAAACTTGAGCGAGTCTGAATGCTTATCATCGGAGGTGTTGGGAAGGTAAGAATAATGTATTGTACACCCAAATGCTTGATAAAAATGCAAGCCCAGAGATCCATAGACCCCCCCCCCCCCACCACACATTCACCCACCCCCACCCACCCCTACACACACACACATATATATATATTAAGTAGCGAACAAGTGACTAAAATGATTCTGAACGGAATACGTAATAGACAGCTGGGTCTTACCAGCGGTGCCGCACTGCAACATGTATGCTGACAAGACTAAACACAGTAAACTAAACAACTTCCAGGTCAATATCATACGCAAGCAACACAAACCGATTGTGTCCTTGTTCTCCGTTCTGTCGGTAATAACATGCACTAACTTGCACATAGAAACCTGTAGTGTACTAGTATATGGACTTCACAAACTCAGGCGACGCCTTATGTATATCAACGGGATGCATCATTATTGCACAGTAGTTCTTCCATTCAAGTACCAAGATTGACATTCATACCTAGGCAGAATATACTGCTGTGGGAGTACTTCAATCTTACACTCAATTAAAATCAGACATGTCAATATGCAAGTTCGTGTTTATTATCATATATACTCATTGCCACTATACAGTGGTGTCCACAGTCCACACACGAAGACCTAATTCAGATATGACAACACAGATATACACGGATACGAACCGAAATAGCATGCAGAAACAAAGTCGCAGTTGCAAACAAACGGGAACTCCACAAGCCTTACACTAGATGTTTACATAGATCCACATATGGGATTTCAACACGATCGACGAATACATGATCATATTCATAGACGGATATGAACGCCACACCTGTCTTCACATACACACACAGCTATGAGTCCAGACAGATAAACCGATTGATTGTCGCATCCAAACACAAATGAAAGCTTTACGCATAATTTCCGTATGCATACGCATTTTCATATTTAAATTCTTCCACATACATGTATATACGCAGATGAGAAGTCAAAACATACTCATGCAGGGTTCGCTTGTTCTCAGTGCTTGGCGACTGGCTGGTCTTGAGTTTACGGAGACAACGGCCCTCCATCTGTGGAAGGTTTGATATATCATTATTAGGATTAGAATTGCAGTACGAGTGTCTTCTTAGTTTAGTATTACAGTTTTCTTTAAACAAAAGAGTTTAGCGGTCGAGGTTTTTGTGAGCTGTAGTGTGATTATTTGTTAAAAACTTCTGATGCAACAGTGGGGACATGTCGCACAGGCAAGATATGTACATGTACTGCAGATGATCAACACAAGGTAAGCAAACACACACGAGAAGAGCATGCAGTGCATAACAAGTGCAAATGATACACATGGCCAGTACATAGGGTGCAGAAGATCGCAAACGTATATAACATAGAGCGCAACTATTAAGAAAATTTTAGGCAGGGGCAAGACTGTTCAAAGGGTCCAACTTATTTGAACCAACAACAGTACCCGGACAACACCGGAAATCAATGATATACATACAACGCTACAACACTCACGCAGTGTGAAGACACACCTCGAATTCGTGCAGTATATTGGCTGTCAAATCAAACCGCAGTGACCTGGACGGGGTAGACACCGCCGACATTCCTACCGACCGCAGACTCGACGCAGACGGTGTGCTAGACGGTGCACAGGGCTCAAACCGAGAACGTGCGTGTGTGTGTGAGAGTGTGAGACTGTGGGTCTGTGTCTGTGGGTTATGTCGAGTGGTGGCTGTGCTCGACGCCTGCTGTGTTTTCATGTCGGTCGAGTGTGTGGATTGGGTATCGGGACAGGCACCAGCTGTCTCAACCCCACTTGATGCTCTGTTTTTAGTACCCAGATATATAACCTCGTCGCAGACTGTCCTAACCTCGTTGGCATCATGACTAGTAGACGGTTGTGCTATTTTTAGCACGGGCTGTTCTATTTTTAGCATCGCAACATCTGCGTCAGCACCCAGCCCTTCCTCCGTGCGACAGATGGCGATCGCCAAATTGCGAGGCTGCATGGGCGTCTCGTCGGGGGTCTCCTCCACAGCTACCTCCTCAGTACCTTTGGTATTAGCGTGTGATGGCGTGCACCTAAAATTTTCAGTCAAGGTGTGCTTAGGCCCAATTGCACCTCTTCGCGGAGTGTCCGATGGTGAGGGACATGTATGTTTAAGATTAGCCATTGTCTGCGCGTGCTTCGGTTTATAAGGCTGTATATACGGTGTGTACGGCCGAGCCCGTGGGTGTGGGTGTGGGTCTGCATGTGCAGGGGTACTGCTGCTCAAATACCCACTCTCTGTCTCTGACCCAGGCAAGGTCTGTGGCGTGATATTTACATACGTCCTACGTTGTGTACATACTTGTGTGCCCAGGTTATCCAAACCGTTCGTGCGCTCTGCGGGTTGTTGGCCTAGAAAGCCGTGTGGCGCTTCACGGAGACCTGTCCATGCAGGGAAACGCGCACGTGGTTGCACGCATTGCACTAGCAACGACTCAGGCACGACGGGTGTGCTTGCTCGGGCGTGTGCGTGTATCTGTTCATGTGAGGGTGTGTGTGTTTGTGCGTGTGAGGATGTGAGGGTGTGTGCGCTAGAGAGTGTATGTGTCTGCACGTCTGTATGGACCTGTGGGTCACCCACGCCTATAGGGGTAGACACGCGCACTTGTGTATTGGAAGATAGAGTTCCACTATCCTCACTTGCAAATACGGCCGTTTTACTATCCTCGCCGGTTGCAAGTGTGAGAGTACTACTATCCTTAGCCGTATGTGTATTGGAAGGTCGACTGTCCTCATATGTGCGTGCAGCAGCGTCTGCTACTTGACATGTGGCAAAACCAGCTACTACAAGGCCGACAGAGCTCTGCATGAGCACACCGGATGTATGGCCATGGGTAGGTGTGACACTCAACTCTGTCTCTTCCAATAGAGGTACAGCCACTACATCAACAGCCGTGTGTTGAAACTTTGGTACGGAGGCGTGTTGTGGGGGGGTTGCTATCTCGGTACTGTCGCTATTCGTACTCGCACTCGCGTTAGCGTTGTTGGTTAGGTCACTCAGCGTACTTCCCTTTTGACTCGTTGCATCATCTTTTGACATCCAGTGCAACTCATCCTTGTCGCAATCACCATCGGCTGTTTGTTTAAATATATCCTCGCTCGCACTTTCGCAATCAACTACATCCGTACGTTTCTCCGTTTTCTCCATAAAAACGCTCATACCAACAATCCAGGAAACCTGTACAGCACTACTTACAGCAGTAGACACACTTTCGGCAGCAGACAGACAGGACGTAGAGCCCTGGTCAGGCTCAGCCCCGCCCACTAAGCCAGTATCCTGGTCGACATCATGTGTATGTACATCCGCCGTTTCACAGGGTGTAGATACACAAGTAGTGGCCAACGAGTCTTTCTTCTCGTCAACAGCATGGGTATTCACTATCTCCCCATGGCTAGACACGCCCGGAATATCTGTAGAACCCCTCGCTAATGCGCCCGTCCTGTCACCGGGTATGGTCACACAGACGTTGTCTACGACCGGACTGTCCTGCAGAACCCGTCTAGTCGCCACCTCTACTACTCCATCTGCTGAGTAGCTATCGGCCATTCTCATCGGTGCCTCGTCTATCTCTGCGTCTGTAGGTACAGTGTCTCCTCGATTATCATCCGCAGAACTCATCGCCGCAGCCCGACCTTCAGGTAAGTCACCCCCCACACCGACAGCGTCGATAGTTACCGGCGCACCAACCCTTTCACAGCTTGCAGATGTACTCACATCTACAGTGGCACTGACAATCCCCTTTGGTGTATTCGCCACGCGCTCACCAGCAGCCAGACCACACTGCAGACTGCCATCGGTATATTTGTCCGTTGCTTGCAACCCCTTTTGGCCTGTAGGTAAATCGCGGTCCAAGTCGTAGCTGGCAGCTGTTCTCGCACTTTCATCCAGATCACTGCCTGCGCGACATCCTTTGTCCGACAACTCAGACACCGAGCATTTGTTAGCCACCATATGGCATACACCAACAGAATGCCAAGTAGCAGACGCATCAGTTTCTCTACAGGGATGTACTGTTGTTGGCCTACTTTCTGCTGTTGTATCACAAATATCTGGAGACACCTCAGCGTAATCAGAAAGTGCGTACTTGTTGTCGGCTTGCACTTTCCCTTCACACCTACCCAGTTCACCGGTGGAGGTCATGTCCTGGTCTACAGAAGCACGCACGGTCACAGTAGCGACTTCATTAGAACCGAATATACTTTCACTGACACAACCTCCAGAGCTAGCCGAACCAGCTGTTGTACTGACAACCTTAGACTCATCGTCAGCCACATCTTTGTGTTCAGGTACGACTATACTGAGGGGCTTAGACATATCTATGCTGAGATTATCTGCACCCTCAAGGTCCAACACACTCGCAGTAGGTCGCTTGGCTGCGTTGGTTTGTGTAACACTCGCAGAAAACTGCACATCCTTTCGCGTATTCGCCGCAGCGGTACACATAGTACGCGCCCGAGACGACGGCACTTTCCTGAGGCCACCAGACACACCCGTATCACGAATGGGGTTGTTCTTGCCCTTTCTGATTTTCTTGAGGGAGTTCGAGATGGCTTTTGAGACAGCGTTTTGCGTTTCAAGCGCCCTCAAGCGTGTAGGTGTTTTCAGAAGTCCCGAGCTCTCACGCATCTCCGCAGCCGGCAGAGGTACAATCCCCTCGAGTGCAGCTCTCACTGTGCTTTTGGCGGACTCTACAGTGACACCACTGGCTGGTTCCTGCAATGCTGTCTCGAGACTCTTTGGTACAGTGTCGTTTACCACCACAGACGCTTCGGTTACAAGCACCACACGTGCATTCTCATCCTTTGATAGTACTTCCCGCGGCAGATTGTCGTTCATAGGCACACGTTCACCATCGGAAACTGCCCGTGTGTCAGTAGGAATTAATTTTGAACCTCCCAGTGTGGCGATTTGCGGGGTCACTCCCACAATTTCAACACACTCCGTAGCCAAATTCAGTTTCTCGCCTGCCATTGCTGTCTGTGTGACGGTAGTATTTGGCCCTGAGCCTCCGATTGCGTTGACTTGAGGTGATACACCCACAGAATCAGCACACCCCGTGCCCTTGGACTGTTTCTCCTCCGCAGACGCTACCGACGATCCCCTGTTAACCGGGTATTCCTTTTGCACAATGTTCGGTCCTTCCAGGGCTATCGCATGTGAGTTCGACGCCACACTTGAGTTTCGAGACGCGCTCTCGACAGCGGTACCCCAATCAAGTACAGACTTCCTACTACTACTACTACCAATTTCAGTGCATGGGAAGTGCCTGCTGTTCGAGGTGTCAACATCTGATGCAGTCGCCAATGAACCACCATTGCCAGTATATGCATCTGAAGACACACTAGAGCATTGAGGAGACTCTCCATCGTCTGTGCTGACCCCTTCAACAGCACCCTCAGCCACAGTGTTCCGCGATATGTCCACTAGCCGGTGCATACTACTATCGTCCTGGTGTATGCTACTGTTGCCATCTTTTCCTATGGCTTCAACTTTGCGGTGCGTATTTTCCGATACTCTGGGCACCTTGCCATCCATCTCATAGACATAAGAGACAGAACCATTCGCTGCCTCTGTACTAAGAGGCATACTGTCCGAGCAACCCTCCCCCGTTCTCTCAGAATCACTCTGTATCCTAGCAACGAGGGTTCCAGGTTTCAGGGGTCTAGGGGTTAAGTCTGCGGTAATATGAACACTTCCTGATTGAATATCCTCAGGTTCTTGCGCACCTTTTTGGATTCCTCCAAGACCCCTCGCAGCCACATTGGTAACTCTGCGTTTAGTACAGAAGATGGCTAGAGGCATATCTTCATCTTCCTCTGCCTCAGTATCAGACGTGTCCGTAGAGTCCAGACCTTCAACGTTCTCCACATGATCTGTGGCATTTTTAGTAATATCCGTAGCATTCGTAACAATATCTGTGACTTTCTTATCAACATTTGTGACATCCTTAGCATTATCTGTTGCATTATTAGCAAGGTCTATCGCATTATTCGCACTACCTTGTTGGGTCTCAGGTACATAATCATGGTCCTCCACCTCCTTCCCGATATCACACGTGTCAAGAGAGCCCCGACCTGCAATGCCCGTCGCGATCTCTGTAGCATTCTTAGGTACACAACCATCGTCATTTACCTCTATCACCGCCTTCTTCACAGCACCCGACGCAGCCAGCGCACTCTGAACCTTACTGCTACGCACATTCCCTGTCTCATCACAAGCGACTGACAGGTCCGCTACACTCCCGTTTACATGATCATTTTCTTCCGTTCTTGCCACGTCGTGTATCGTACTAGAGTCTGTCAGAACAATACCACTCTTCGCCATAATCGTGGTATTTTGAGCGTCATTTCCGTCAGTGTTGGACGTATCATCTTTTCCTCCGTCTTCTGATTCCACGCAATCGAGCCGATCGCGTGGAACAGAGTTCCCAACAGTTCCGCACTCAACAATACCTGTACAACTAGTTTCATCCTTATACAAAACACTGCTAACATCTTTGACTGTATCACTAATCACCAGTTTATCTGAGCCAAGAATTGGATTGGACTGTTCTACTTCAGATGCACGGCTTGTAGCTTGGCCAATGCGACTCTCATTAACAATAGTGACATCCACCTGTTCGGTTTTAACCGTTGGGTGGCTATCAACTATACCCTCCGAGTTGATCACCTTCGTCATCGCATTCTTGACTGACTCCGAACCACACGTCAACACACTACGCAGATACTCTCGTACGGCCACACACCTTACCTCTACACCAACCTCACAAGGGCTATCTAGCCCACCGACTTCGACTTTATCACCACTCCAACTGTCAAGCACACGCGCAGAGCGCATACTGATATCATTTGGCCTCTGCATAGCCCCAGCACGCCAATCACTAGCCCCATTCTCCTGAGTATCAAGCACGGGCATACCTTCCCTATCTAGCCCTCGCAATACACGAGAGAGCGCTTTGCAAACGGTTATAGCTGCCTCCTTTCGGTCGGTAACCAAGCTGTGCATAGTCTTCTGGGCATGCTCGCTGATACCAACCTCTGTGCTTGGCATCGGCGGCCGAGGCATACGGGTAGCAGTGAAGTCTGCGATGGTACCCGCCGGTTTGTCAATAGGTGCTACCTGCGCGAACGAATCCTCAGATGCGCACGCATGTGGTTGTCTTACGACTTCCGATGCGCGCGTGTATGTATGTGCATGTGTAAGTGCAGAAGAATGTGTGTTCCCGTTCATTGCACCACCTCGAGCGCTTCCCAAGCCCATGACTTCGAGTACTGTCTCTGAGTGTGGTCCGGTAGGAGGGAAGAGTATTGGGATAATTCTGAAGTAGGCTGGCAACGCTGCTTGTGCTGTTGAGGATGATTCCGATGAGTTGTCTGTAGCAACCCCTCTCCGTGAAAGCCGGTAGGATGTTAGAAATAGATCGACTACGGCATTCTTTAGTTCCTGTTAGTATAAAACCCCATAAAGAGAAAGTATAGTTTAGTGGAATGATGAATAGTGTAAATGTAGTGAGGTTTTGGTGCATTTCTTCAGAGGTTTAAAGTGTACGGATTTAGAGAAGCTACCGTTGTTGAGGTGTGTATGAGGTGACAGTACAGGTGGGGCGTGTACTGTGCGAATAGGTCGGTAAAGTTCATAATCTGATGTAGGTATTCCACAGTTGAGTACACTTGGAGAAAATTATCCGTCCTATGAATACATCGGATGCCTGTAGTCTACAACTTATATAAAAAAATTGCGTTTCAATTACACTTTGACAGTATATAATATTTATTATACATAAAACATAGAGAAAAGACATATACCTGCAGTTCAAACGAGAAGCCTCTTTGGTGAAGGCAGACAGCCAGATCCGTACCGCAATCAACCAGTCGGCGTACTAATCTGGGACTAGAGCGAGCATTCCGCGCGGCCCAGCGGACACTAAGCAAAATCGGACCCAGAAACAATGCTGCACAATATAAGTGTCCATCAGGACAAGATACATATGATATCAGTACAATATAGAATTATATCCAAACAATGTGGATTGTAACATTTTAGAAAAGATTACGGGGAAAAGTAATAGTGTAATATAAACAGGTATTGGAATAAATTAGATTATTTTATCATTGTAAAGCAATGTGAATTGTAACAATTTAGTAGAGAATACCAGGCATGATACTAGTACGATATGAACAGGCAATATAGTATGTTCAAATAGATTTTTTTTAAACCCTTGTGGATTGTGAGATTTCAGAAGATAATATGGGAGGAACGATATTGCACAAGACCGGATGTCTACTACGACATGGAATACGAATACACCACAGACTTGTACATACAGACAGGTATTTGTATTGAATTGAAAGTGGGAATTTGAGACGTATCAAAAGTGATTGTGGGAGTTGGGGGGTGGTGACTATCCTGGCCACATCTCTAAAAATCAAGACATCCCATATCTATGAGATATTCACGTGCTAAATCGATTAGGTATACACAGACCTGGGTCTACGAGGCTCCAAGAAGTACATGGTCTTCGACAATATGAGAATAAACATTAGTACAACGAACCGATACACAAACGGAATCAGCACCGTGATACCATAAATACTGTGAACCAAGCAGCTACACACCAACCAAGAAAGGGATATGTTCCAAGACGGACCACTAGTGAACTCCACACCATAAAACATACCCAAAGATCGCTTGTCCAAAGCACACCCGGTCACACTGATGACATCCTGCCACAGACGGCACACCTCTTCGCACACGTCCACCGACATGGAGGCTAGGCGCAGCAAACCCTCAGTCACAGGCAGCAGTGTGATGAGTACCTGTAAAGCATCTTTACGTGCTCGGAGCGAGCCCTTATCTACTTCTTCAGCACTAGTAGCCCGTTCTTGTTTGGTATTATCCGCACGCACACGCCCAGCAGTGGTCGTGGTATGTCGCGCGCGCGCGCGCGCGTGTGTGCGTGCACCCACGGAGCCATGTGCATGTGTGTATGTTGTTCCGATATCATCAAACGACTCCTCAGGCTCATTACAAGCAGTAGGCTGTGTGTTGTACCTATTATAAGCTCCTGCCGCAGTCGGTTCATCTACCGCCGAGTTACACGTGTGTAGCACCGGACGCAGCACTGCAATGCACAGTGTCACTGTGCGTATGATGCGTATGCCTGCGGCTACGGCCTCAGGAGAGATAAAGGATATATGCGTTTTCTTTGGAGGATCCTCCTGTAGAATTGGTAGAATTGAGCGAATTATGTCAGTTTTGTGCATAACAGGTGTCGACAAGCAAAGTACAACCACGATACAACTTGTAGTTCACACCACGCACACCTCGATACGGATAGCGAATGCTGCTCTCTACCCACTCAAGCGATACAATGTAGTCTAGACCCAATGCCATACTATCGTTCACAAACTATTGCTACAACCTTGGATATCTCCTTATACAATACGTCTAAGGGACTAAATCACAATGAAATTGAACAGAATATACTTCTAAAAAAAACCGACATATGCAAAATCGTACCCCCCGAGTGTCTTCTTCGCTTATGTTTCTCACCTGATTCTGTGCCTCCGTCGATTGACATATGCAGTCACCACCTACCAAGCCAGGGAACCTCAGAGAGCACACACAAGCAGGCCGAACCTCGGACTTAACCGTCACCGGTACACGGGTGGCTATACCCGCGCCGTCTGCCATTGGGCGCTTCCGAGGGATTGTATCGGCTGTAGATAAGTATACAAGTTTGCCAGATTTAGATGAGTGTATCGATTGTGGTGTAGAAAGGAACTGGATATGTGTGTCGCATTTGGACGGATGTCGCGTCTTGTTCACATAAACAGGAGAATCGTTCATAGTTGCAAATAAGGACAGAGTACATATGCCACGTTTGAATACATGCAGCGGTTGTAGCTGCATAAATGAACAATGTACAATTGCAACAATCCCATGGATACAGCGTTTGTGGTTGTAAAAATACAAGTACGCCACATTTATATAGTGCACAAACAACATCTGGATAAGCGCAGCGTTTGGGTAAGGCATTGGTTGAGTGTCTGTGAGGTATCTGTGAAGACAGTTTTTCCAAAACCCTAAACCCTAAAAATTAAGGGGTGATAGGGAGGCAAATAAGTCACTTGTGCACACACTGACACACACACACACACACACATATATATATATTATATTATATATATATATATATATATGTATTTATTACAGATTGCAACGATATCTACATCTACATCTAAATCTACATACTTATATATCTATTTATCAATCTAACATATTACACACCCACCCACCCACATATATATATACATACATACATACATACATATATATATATATATATAATAATACAAAAATATAATAATACGAAAATGAAATATAAAAATTTAATAATATAATAATATATTAATTTACCATAAAATATATCAATGTTATATTAGAGCTACATACCTTGGATCTTCGGTTTGATAGTTCGACCATCGTCCTTCACATCCTCGGCTTCTGGACTCTTCGAACTTGCTTTGTAGATGTACTGTCCCACTGCCGTGTCCAGCAGAACGCGCAAATGACCCTGTACAAGTACCAAGAAGTAGTTTGAAATATGCTTAGATCTTTTTCTATCTGATACACTGTTCGACCTCACCGCATATAGCGATGTATATGGAATTTACATAATAGAAATATGCATGGAAGAATGCATCTGTTTTTGCATGACACCTCAGATAGCTAGATACCGATATATACCAATGTTAAATTCCGAGTTCAATTGACAGAAGAATATGCTCAGGGTCATGCATAGCAGGAGACCAGCTGTAGATAATGCAGTCGGTGATATCATGCTATACAGATACAAAGTATCGTACACACGTGTACACGGCAACAAACAAACAAAGGTGTATACAAAAAGATAAGCACAAACACACAGCGAACTCTACACCAACATCCTCTAGCGCACATGTGTGCACGGAGCGTCGCTGGGAACACACACACAAGAAAGCTGCAAACAAGTTCGAACCAAGCCCACGAATACACAGCAAAGGGACTAACCATCACACCCCAATACTCAATCCACCTGTACTCACCACTGAGGAAGTGATGCGTTTGACTGTGGTAGACGGCATGCCCCAGCACACACACACGTGTGGGCGTGTGTGTGCAGCGGCTGCAGCTGCCACATCCTTCGCCTGTCTCACCCCTTTGCCTACTACAGGGCCATGTAAAGCACGGAGGTGGTGCTGTAGTAGCTCGTTAACACTACACAGTGGCTGATCCACACTGCTTAGTACGTGTGGACCTCCAATATCACTGGAGTGTATGCTAGGCTTTGTATCATCTGGTACGTGCGCATATGCAGGTTTCATCAGTGGTGTGGGCCTGAGTGTATGTGAACTCATTGTACTGAGTGCATGTGAGGTCACTGTGTTGTGTGTATTTGGATTCGCTGTACCGAGGGTATCGTTTGACTGAGACGGGCGAGGTGGCGGCTTTGATTGTGATACTATAGCAGCAGGAGCTGTGAATAGAGGTGCACTGGTACATCGTTTAGGATCAGATGTGACATCTACCTGTGACTTTGACTGGGCTTGCCGATGAGACTTGGACTGAGATACAGGCGCACTACTACATTGTTTGAGATTCGTTGCGATATATGACTTCGTCTTTGACAGGGTGTACCGGTGTGGCTTTGACAGAGACAGAGGTGCGCTAATACACCGCCTAGGTGGACTCATTGAACTGTGTATGGTGTTTGACTGCCTCCCGGATTGCCCACTTTTGCGCCTGAGCGCCCTTGGGTCGGGGTTTGTATTGGTTGCCGAGGCGATGGATTGATCAGCATTTGTATCTGTGGGGCTGTTATCGTTTTTGTCGCCGATGCTGAAGAGAGGAATATCTGTAGAGTGATTTAGAATACAGCGTTTAACGATTGCAATGAATGACAATTCATAGAAGAGTACCGTAAAGTATTGCATAAGCCCAGGTTTGAAGTATTGTATTGATTGTCGAAGTCATACGTGCCACGGTGATTGTACATGATGGGATTCTAGTACAATGTGATTCGCTTCACAACTTAAAAATGTTCATTCATGAGGATTTCAGACTTGTAAATCAGCTATACACGGTTATACATTCACAAATATATACCCAAAATTACTGATTAATGAGTGTATGAGTCTGGACAGAATGGTCGTGAGGAAAAGAAACAACATATGCACAAACGTGCCACAGATGAAAGTGTATATACCATCAAACTAAGAATTAATTGATAATTGGAGGCTTGCAAACAGTTCGAATACACTACTCATATATATATATATATTTACTACTTACCATTCTCCACACCAGCCCGGAGTCCGGGCAAACCAGCCTTCTTCCTGCGCTTTCGTCGGTGCGTTCTCCGGCACTCTCTGCGCCCACTCAGCGCCGCCCCGTGCGGGGTTTGATCGTTTCGGTACACAATCTGTGTATTGAACTCATCGTCTAAACCCTCAGCTACAGTAGGTTCGCTTCGGCCTATAATGCTTTTGATGAACTCATCTTCTGAAGCCTCCACAACCACAGCGGTCTGCTCTATATGCACACCCGCATCAGCTCTTGGGGCTTGGTCTGTGTCTGTGTCGGTATCTGTGGCAGATTCTCCATTGTACATAGCCGTTTTAGGCTTAGAACCACCCACTCCACTTGTACTAGGGTTTCGGGTTCTACATGGCGGTCTGAACTCCTTGTCCAAAGCACTAGACATTTTATCAGCCGTTTCACGTGCAGTGTTCTGATGCTTGCTCGTACTGGGGGGTAGCCCACTCCTCTGTCGCCGCCTCTTTCCTGGTACTTTGTTCCTGCGGGTTGATGCGCTTACTTGTTGGTCACCCACACCTTCACCGTGCCGGTCAAGTTTAATGCCCACGTGTTTGCCACCCACTATACCATAATCACGGACATCTTCTCCAGTTGGCTTAGCAACATCCTCTCCTATTTCCATTTTCTCTATATAAGTACCGTCAGTGCCTGCCAAATTGCGTGCAAAGAACTCAAGCAGCACCTTCTCGCGCTCCGTGGCTGGCACTTTCTGCGCATACCTGCCATCATGGCTCGGGTCGAACAACAACCAATGCTTCTCACTGCTGCCTTTCGCCACATGCTTCACATCCTTTGTCACATCGTAAGTCGTGCCTTTGCACACACATTCGAGCTTATCCCCTGTGATACAAACCCCTTGACCTTGCGCCATTCCCGAGTTACTGCACATCTGAATGTTCGCATGTGAGGCCACCTTTTTATGTGTGTGAGAGCCGTTAGTACTGACGTGTCTTGTGCTACTGTCAGTCTGTGCCGAGGGGTACTGTTGCCCAGGTGCTCCCATCAGTAAGGCCTTACACCGCGACGGTACATCTCGGGTGAAGAACAAACTGTGCGCCGCATTCTGAACGGACACATCCTTATGGAATAGACCCGACATTGCATACCCCATCCAACAGATACATTTACACTTACAAAGCACTTTGCTATCCGATACACGTGCTTGCTTCGGTTGGACACCCACCAGGAGGGGGTCTGGAGAAGGCATTCTAGATGATGCGTGCCTCTGAGAATGTGCCCTCATGGACTTTGTGTGAACGCGCGTGTCTAGATCAGTTGTGAGTGATTGTACACTAATAAGGGGCGATAGCTTCCGGAGCTTCTGCGGTGTGCCATCGACCGTTGCCGGTTCATGCGCACTTGCACATCTTTTCAAACTCCCGCCTTTACGCACTCTCTGTATCGAATTCCTCTTTAATTGATCATCCCCGTCAACGGTATTCGCAACACACTGTCCGGGTGGATGGCCCAGCATTTGTAGAGGGGCTGCAAGAATGACCGTCTTGGTGGCATGCAGTATATCCCGCAATATATCGGGATGGTCGGAACAGCTGCTGTACACGCGATTGAAACAGCATAATATGTTGCTGCCTTCCGAAGTTATTGCGTCGGTAGGAAGGCGCTGTGTGTATCAGAAGTCAAAGTGAAACACACGATTCAATTAAATCACCAAATTGAACCACAGGTGATGTATCCGTAACCCGTATGGAATCATGTGCTATAGTGTGTGCGTACAAAATATAACAGAAAATTACCGGCATTGACTTTAAATCACACTACTACTACGAGACGATTTCGTAAACATACCTGCACTTTCAGGCACCAAATCAACAGATGTAGCACCTCTTTGTCTGTTTCCCCATCGTCGACAATCTGAACTAATGCTCGCACAATGCCGAGCGAGTGGAGTAAAGAGAGCTGTGCACACAGCGTTTCCTGCTTCACCAGCATTCCCAGCAATCGGAGGGCAGCCTGTAAAGGAAGGGAATATATATATATATATATATATATATATATATATTAGATTATATTCCAGTAATAGATGTTCGAGTATGTTTATATACTCAGGCACACAGGCACGCACACACGATATATATATATATATATATATATATATATATATGTACATATTACACACATATATTATATATATATATATATATATTTAACGCTATCCTATCCTACGAGTGTCTAAGCTCGTAGCTAGATATATATACATATATATATATATATAAACATATATATACATAACTACATAAATACATACACACACACACACACACACACACACATATATATATATATATATATATATATATATATATACGTATATATATACTACATACATACATATATATATTTATATACATTATATATATATATATATATATATATAAATACGAATGTAACAAATATATACAGATATCTTATTTGAATTTTTTGAGAAGGATACAATCCTTCATGTTGGACCAAACGTTTTGTTTCATGGAATTTAGACCACGAGACCAGTCCATATACCTAATAGTTCAGATACCTTGGTTATAACATACCTTCAACACCGCCTTATGTGCACAATCGAGCATGGTGATGCACTCTCCGAACCATCCCAATTTCACCTCAACGCTACATGTGGTCTCCATTCTGCAGGCAATAAACAGTATTTTGTCAATAAATACAATAAGAATTCATAAACGTCCAGATACAACACACAAGTATGTCAATCGATATGGGACGAATTCACAGACTTTCAAATACATCCGACTACTTTAGGCAAATTGAGCTGATAGGCCAGGCAAAAGATACAATAATTCCATATCGCTCAACCGCCTTTTATGTAGAAGATAATAAAGGTTTCAGCGAATGATAAATACGTATTGAACGTAACGAGAGAAACTGCGTTGCGATAATGCTAATTGAGGTAAACCATGACCTAAAAATATACTAGGCCATTCGTATCTATGTGATATATAACATGCCACTACTAAAACCCGGAACGATTTAAGTGCTAAATACACGCAGCTTTATTAATTCACGTACTGTAAAGTAAGCATGCAAAGAAATAGCGATCACATGGCAGAATATTTGACCGAAGGCCGAGAACCAATTGATACTTCACCACCCATATACCTTTCCTCACAAAAAAAAATTACACAGCCAAACAGACAACGTAAAATATCGCACAACATATATTTACCGAAACCTCAGAAGCCTTTGAAACTAAATAAAACTTTAACAAACACGAATGTACATTGCTCCCATACATTATTGTACGAAAGCAGACATACAGCGCTAAAAATCACATAACACATCGTTTAAACACCGCCGTACCTTTGTAACTTCAGTAGTCGCTGCAGCGCCATCTCCGCCTGTTGGCGCGAGTGAACCCTACCCGGCATTATGGAGACGTATATCTATATGTATAGGTATTGGAAAGCGTGCTCGTATACCTATAGTATATACATTTGGCTATGCATGAATATGTCTTCTATATATATATATATATATATAATATTACGAATGAATGTGTAAGAAAATGTATTTCTCTCTTTCTCTGTGTGTGTATGTGAGTGTAACGATTCCAGGTAACAAATAAGGCAGAAAAGTCCGAAAGCCATTCAGATAGCAGTATTCGGGAGAAACGGTAAAGCTTCACACATGTATCGAAAGTAGATATACCTTGTATCAATCGAAAGGTACATATATTGGTAGTGTCAATTCGATACACACCACACTGCGGTGATACACACTATACATCGCATATGTAGTTTGTTTAAAGTCTTCCATACGCGAAAGTGATGGCAAGGCACGGCAACATTCGCAGTACATACACACTACACCCGTAATACACACTACACACGCTGTGCATCGCACAAATATGAGTAGCTATGCACGTATGTTAGCTATCTGTAGTAAGGTTAGTAGCTAAACTGCAGTATGTAAAGTGGATAGCGAGTACATATGTATTTAGAACAAATAATATTGAAATGCACTTTTGTGGGAGATGTACAGATTTTTTTTAAACACAAAACTACATTTGAGCACAAAACACCGCCGACCGCTGACGATCGCGCACAAAGGCTTTTGGAGTATTTTGGCGCGTTTTTTGCATGCATTCTGGCGTCGTCAGCAGATTTCTAGTTTAATACATGTCGTAAACTAGTTCACGACCGTAATACGATACTGGAAAGTATATCATTTTAATTACAGACGCAGTTGTCAGGACATTTCCAACATGATATTTACCAGCTCTGCAGATTTTGTGGCACATTGTTTCAGACTTGGTAGACTTCTGATATACATACATAAATACCTGTATTTACATGCAAATTTCTCTTGTGTAAATAAATAATATTCGTAGGTTATCACAACTATGCGTGCAATACTTATTTACATTAAACACAAACTCACACTTTGTTAGACTATAGACGCAACTGAATAGTCATGCCTCGTTGGAACTATGTAGATCCCCGGGCGTGTGCGGCTTCGGCAGAGTGGCAGCATTCGTTAGATGTACATGTAGTGACTGCTAAGATGTACGAAGACACTATTTCTGGCTATGGTCTAGGGTTGTATATTGTGAATGATGACGGCGATAGTGCTTGTGAGGATGCTAATACAGAACCAACAGTATTATCAGATATAACGGAACCGAAAGAGTCGTCTTATGAGTATAAGGAGGTCAAAATGGAAGGTGGTATATCGACGGTTTTAACAGAGTCAATGGGGCCGAAGGAGTCATCTCATATGCATACGAAGGTTAAAAAAGAAGACGCCGAGAAAGGAAATGATATGGCAGATAAAAAGGTACCAACGGAATCAAAAGATTCAGTACATGAGCATATGGAGGTGAAAGAAGAAGGTGATGTATTGGGTATGAATATAAAAGAAAGTAGGAACAACGTAGCGAAAGTGGATGAGTTGATAGATGTAGATTCCGAATGTTGTCCAGACCACTCAGAGGATAAAGTAAAGGCCGAGTATGGTTACAGCCAAAACGACATAGACAACACCAATAGTAACACATATAGTAGTGCTAGTGCGAATGAGATGTCACAGGTACACTCAGAGGATAAAGTGAAGTCTGAGCATAGTTATGCACACTGTCAAAACAGTACAGAATATATTCGCAGTAGCACACGTAAAAGTACTAGTATTAATGAGACGGCAGAAGCACACACTAAAGACAGCCAAAACAACAAACACAACACCAATGATGACACAAATAAAAATATCAGTGCAAATGGGGTATCACAAGCACACTCAGAAGCTAAACTGAATTCCGACCATGATTCCACACACAGCCGAAACAACACACAAACCACTAGTAGCAGCACACATAAAAGTACCAGTACGAACGGGACGTCAAAGGCGCACTCAGAGACTAAATCTGAGTCTGAGTATGATCAGGAAACTACAGGTGGTGGGAAAACGACAGGGAATAGGTTAGCCATGCCATTGTATTACGTATCTCCAGCTGTCGCTCAAGATCGATCTACCACATGGGGACCAATGGAAGGTATGGTATTTAGGCCATTGGTATATACACCAGGTGTACTACGTGTATTGGCCTTACAGGACCGTAAACGTTTTAGGAAACGCAGGGGCAAGGTTATGCGTGGCCTAACTGAGCCGTAAACGTTTTAGGAAACACACGGATAAGGGTTTTATAAGTTGATGTATTGACAATTGGTCATATGTGCGTGTTTCTAATCTATTGTGCAGTTTCCGTTTTGGTTCCGCTGGGCACGTATGTATTGTTAAAAAACACAGGAATGAGGGTTAGGTGTTGATTGCGCATTGGCTTAGTTGGATATGTGCGTGCACTTATAGTCACAGGGATCATGTCAACATATTTTGTAATTAATTAATTGATTGCCCATATCCACTTGTGTATGTCCGTCTGTCAGAGAAATGCTTTTTTAAATCGGGGTTGGATCGTCATTATGTGATACTTTACTTCTTGCGCAACCGCTGCTATGACTGTTCGTGCTGCCAACAAGGGCAATCTCGATCAAAATCTCTCAGCCAACGAGTCTGCTATCCCTGTTTTATGCTAGAGTGCTGTACCGCACTTTTCATATTCGCCTTCCCGTTGTCAAGTGTAACTTGACTAGTTGCGGATTTTCGAGGGACGAACGGAGCTATTTGTATAGACCAATCACAAAGGATGCCTCTTGAAATTCGTACTGAACGCAAAACCTGCAAGTTCTGTTCTATTTAGTAGGCTATGCAAGTTCGGCAGAAAAAGAGATTGTGTGTTTATTTTATACTCGAAATACATGACTGTGGGTTTTAATTTTTGAATTGGTGGGTATTGTGTTGGGGTCGCACTTTCTGTCTCGCGCACAATCTTCAGATGGCCCTCTTGAACACACAACTAGTCAATCCAAGCACGTCTCTGTCTTTCAAAATGAAGCTGCCCGTCGCCCCTACCGATCCAACGATTCTGTGCCCCTCTACGGGTATTCTGATCGCAATTAGACCCAACGGATATTCAACTTGCCACGTGTAGTCATATTACATACAGTCCTTATGCGTCTTACTCGTTTCCACTCATATCTGGATTAGTTAGGAATCTCTATCCAACTCAAAGCCCACAAAAATCTACTTCCAATTCCACAGCCGGCTGGTACGTGTGTGCGCCACGTACGTCCCACTTCGAGATCCGGGTGTCACCCTTATTTGGGTCGCTCACGAAAAAGCGGTTTGCATCGGCCTACGATGACGTTTTGGTGTGGTTGTACGTGGACGGGGCTGTGTGCAACGTCGAAGGTAACATAGCAACCAAACACAGTGATATAGTGTATCAGGGGATCAAACAGATCGCAGACGGAGATACAACGGTGGTAAGTAGGTTTATGTTCCAGGCTGCCAAGATGACTGAGGAAGAAGCGGTGAGAAAGGGGGAGGGTGATGGTGGGCAGGACGAAGTGGGAACGATCAGACTAGTGTTCAAGGGTGCGTACAAGGGCAAACACGAGCCTATAGGGTACGAGCGGTACCAGAACCATGTACACAAGGCTAGAGCCAAAGTGACTGAGAAGGAGGCTATTAAGAAGGGCAAGAGTCTGGGGGTGGGCAAAGGCGCTGCGTTGAATGTAAAGCGCAGCAAGCACGCAGACTTTGAATATCCCGAGCATCTACAAACAGAGCTATTCGAGCATGAGATTGTGATACGGCTACGGGAATGCTTTTGGATGGAGAGTAGAAAGCTGGTTGATGTTAAAGGAAGGGCTTGTACGCACAGCATGAGTGGTCGGGAGGTGAAGGGAGAGAGTTCTGGGAAGAGACCGAGACTTCAGAGCGATTGGGACCTCGGGATCAAGAATGAGGATGGTATCATCGATCTTTGCTAGCATCGCGATTGGTCTAAACTAAACTCTGAACTGATCAGCAATGTATGTTTCCAGATGTGTTGTTGAGCGCTTACCAGCTCAGAGTACTGTGTAGGATATTGTTGTGTGACGAGTTTTAACATATATGACGCAGCAGACGAGTTTATAAAAATATGACGCAGAAAAGGGACTGTCATCCGAAGGAGGGTGTCGGACATAGAACAAAGATGACGATTGGTGGAGCGTCATGTGTGAGTTTATTCTCGATCCAGCGGTCTAGCCCCTCAACAAGCGTTGGCATGTGCAGGTGCTATGGCTTGCGATGTTGAGCGTACTGGGAAGCGAGATGGATTCTGCTGTTCATATCTCTCTCGGCAGATCCCACGATATCATTCACCCCTGCTTCCATCATTCATGATACAACGCCAACCTTATTGCCATATATCGTGGCTCAGCATAAAAACTGCGATACACACATGGCTCGGCGCATATACATGGCTTAGTATATACATGACTCAGTATATGCACATGGCTCAGTATACGAACTGCGGTATAAACATAGCTCAGTATGTATCCATGACTCGGTATATAAACTGCGATATAACCATGACTCAGTATATAAACTGCGATATATGCATGACAGTATAGATACATGGCTCAGTATATACAATACTCAGTATATGTACATGGCTCAGTATATGAACTGATATAAACATAGCCCAGTATATATACATGACTCGGTATATAAACTGCGATATAAGCATGATTCAGTATAGATACATGGCTCAGTATATACATGACATTGTATGTGTACACGGATCAGTATACAAATATGACTCAGTATGAAAAACAATATATTCTCGCAACGATGGTCTTGCAGAGGGACCACTGGAGCATTGTACACGTTAAAAATAACATGATACAATATCTAAACTATAGCAAGGGCTTCTGAGTGTTAAGAGAGTCCTCGACAAAACTGCTGCCAGCACTTTGCCGACTCTGTATGTGAAAGTGCCAAGGGTATTCGGTGTCGTCAAAAGGACCATGCATTCGTAGAAGTCTGTGGAGCGAGAAACTAACACCAACAAAGACCACAAAAGCAGGTGATCTGCTCCGTGAACTTGACGGATAGCACAATGGCTAGTACTGATGCATATACGTCGCAGGTGCTACTAATACTCTAAAATGCTATGAAGCTACTCACTATACTATACTCAGGATATTCAAATGTACGTATATATCCATATTCGCATCGTGAACCAAACAAAATCTGACTATATATGTACCATTCTGAGTCGGAGA